CCATCTGTCTGGACATGTTCCATGTCCAATATTTTGGAACAACTGCTTTGATATACTATAAACACCATGATTGCCTTTGTATTTTTTCAATGCAGCATGTCATGCTCAGATATCATATCAAAAGAGTCAAGGAATATTTGTATATTATGCACAATAGATAGTCAATAATATGAGTTAAATAATGAATCTTTAGGGGTTTTATTAAAAAAAAAGGTTCCTTCTTGGGATATAAAGCTATGGGTAAGAAAGAGGATTAAGTTTCATGCAGGCCTTCTTCTTCCAGCAGGAACGGAACGTAGTAGTCTTAGACACCCGGTGCCACTTCACTCCACCCTCTATTCTAGCAATAGAAAACTCCCACAGAATTATGGTACATTTTGTTCCCTTTCAACTGGTGATTAGAGTTGGTCAAATTATGAACTGAAAATAACTTTATAACTTCAAAAACTCTAACCAAAAATAAAATTTGTAATGACAGTACATTTAACTACAAAAATGCATAGTTTTAGCCGGGTATCTTGAAAAACCACACCAAATGGAAGCAATGTCAACAACCATCAGATAGCCAGGGATAAGCTCCAAGGCTCAGTAATGGTGAATAGTGTGAAAAAGGAAATACTTACCTCCCAGACAAGCAGCTGAATCCAATATTCTATGAGAAGTCATAAATATAGTTGCCAGAGATCACAAAAATATTTTAAAATAGTTCTTAAATGGGTAATTACCAATTGGCAGAAGACTAGTGTGGCTGTCTTTCACAAACCTGTTTCATAAAATGTGAACACGTGTGTGTGTGCACACGTGTGTGTGTGCAGGAGATGTGGAGGAGGGTGGCAGGGAGGAGCACTAGGTTCTTCCATAAATGGTGTTAAAGAAATCAGAAAAAATGAGAGAAAAGGAAGAGTCACAGGAGGTTTTGGCTCAGGACACAACAAAAACAGACGTTCATTTATTGACTAATGATGTTACTTAGCATTAAAAATAACATTTCATAGCTAAAGTGCTATTTTAATTCATTTAAAATTCCATGTTAGAAGATAAGCTTTATTAACTACAGATATGAAACAATAAAAAGCTCAATTTATTCTAAACTATTGAGAAGAAATTTGAGACATGAAGCCAGCTCTCCGAATTATCTGACTATAGTCCCCTCTTTGTTTCCTACCCAGGATGTTTCATGATTGGCTCAACCAAACTGGAATTCTACTGGCAATAATTAGGAGACAAACTTAGAATTAATTATACAGCATACATTTTACTTAATAATAACTTAAAATTTTTTTAAGTATCTAAAGACAGTGGAATTTATCATGTGAGCTGACAGAAGTTGTGCATGCATCCCATTTGCCACTCAAGGGACTAACCAATCCAAAAATGGGAATGCACATAGAGAAAGTTCCAGAAGAGCATTGAGACTGGAAACAGAGAGTGGACTTTGTAAAAGAACCCACTGCCTGGAAAGGATTTTAAGAAGAGGGCTAAGGGTTAGACAATAAACAAGAGTTAATTCTGGCCAAACAGGATCATTTTGAAGAATAACTGAATAGTGAACTAATTACTGGAGTAACAGGAAAATAGAGCTGTCTGAAGAGAAGAGTTCAAGAAGATCTGATTAAGATTGAGGCAAAGGAATAGGCAGTCTCAAGGGGATGACAAGTAGTCCATCATGATTTCAAAGATAACCTAGGAGCCTGGTTCTTCCATAAATGGCATTAAAGAAATCAGAGAAAATGGGAAGAAAGGAAGAGTGCAGGAGGTTTTGGCTCAGGACACAACAAAAACAGATGCTCATTTATTGACTAGTGATGTTATTTAGCATAAAAATAACACTTCATAGGTAAAATTTAAAATAGAGAGCTGGTTAAGTAACATAATCAAAAGAGTAATAATGTGTTTAAGATAAATGGTTGAATACCCAAGTGGTATTTCAAAAGTTTGAGACTAGTCGGGTGCATTTACTTACAGGTTTAAAAAAGTGTTTTATCAAAGATTTGGGTTTCTTTCATCTCTGAGATTATAAAAAGTACTTCAGGAGATAAAAGATTATCTCCTTTTAGCCATTTCAGTCAATTCCTTCAATAACTGGAAGACCCTAACAGTGTATTCCAATTTCAAGATTTACGGAAACTTTGGACAGATGTAGGGTCCTGTGATGCTTTCTCCTCTGGAACATACCAGCGGGAGGCACCTGGACCACCCTCTTTTGAAAATATCTCCTGATGGGGAAGTTAGTTTCACAGAATAACATATCCCAAATCTTTGGAAAATGAAATAATTGCTCCAAGCAAGGATCACCATTGGACAAGACCAGCAAATAAGCATTGTTAGGGAAAATGATATTTGCAAGCTGCCAAACGATCTATGACCCCCACAGATTACTTGCTAATTGCCCAGGGGAAATGGAAAGACCCAGAGGTCACCACGTTCACAGCATGATCCAACAACATTTCAAATGGTGGAGCAAACTTTGTCATGCTTCCTGACATGAGCAATACCAAGTACACAAGGTCATCTAAGAAAACGTCTTGCCCAAATCTGAATCCAATTAAACTTCTATACTTAACTTGCAGTTCACAGGCAATAATATAAGTGAAAGAAGTTAACACCACCATGAGGAAACAGACAAATCCAGAATGTGGGCTGTTGTACAAGGTAATGGGGCTGCTTTCTTTAAGAAGTCAGAAACATAAGGAAAACATGGGGAAGGTGACTGTTCCAGAAGAGAAGAGAATAAAATACACAACCACCAAAGGCAGCGTGTGAAGTCTGACTAGATCCTGGCTTGTGTTTTGTGTCTTAAGCTATAAAAAATATGTGGGGAACAAATATAAAATTTTAAGTAGGCTGCATATTAAATATTAGAAAAGTATTTTAATTTCTTTAGATACAATAGTGATATTTTTGTCAAACTAGAGGAAGTGCCTTTTTTTAGGGGAGAGAAAAAAATATATAGCAAAATGTTAACTGGTGACTCTTAAGTGTTATGTATACCTGTGATGATTATGCAGTTATCTTAACTTTTCTGCTTACTTGAAAATTTTCATGAAATAAGCTTGAAAAACCTTTTGTTAATAAACTAATCTGGAATCTCCTTCTGAAAAATGCCCACCTGCCCATCCTAATGCCACCTCCTTTCTCTTGGTCCCCATGCCCACACCCCCTCCAGCCTCTGATCCCCCTTCCTCCTGCTCTGCCTGCCCCTCAGCAGCCCCACTGCCAGTAACTCAACTGATAATTCAGACTTGGAGCTTCAGAAAGGTCAGCTTTGGCCCTCTCTTCTCTCTCACTCTCCGTTTTTCTACTCCCTTAGCTTCAGGTGTTGTTGAAATGCCAGACTCTCAAATGTATCTTCAGACCACTGCTTATCTGAGGGAAATGAATCTGAATACTCAAAGAAACTTTCTGACAGAAAGCACTGAACTTCATGGGAAAAACAAGATCTAAAATGACCTATCAAGTTACAGTCCATTCTTTTCTCTAATGAAATTCCAACCATCTCAATTTAAAGGAAAAATGATATATGTTGCAAATCTAATAAACTCTGGATTAATGAAAATGCTTGTACAGTAACTGTTTCAAGTAAATGAATGTTTTAATTAAGGGTCAATATTCTTTACTATATACAACATACAGGACATAATTTTTTATTGTCTTTATTTCTAAATTTAAAGCGTCTTCATGTCAAAACCACAAATATCTGTACACTGAGTATACTTAGATTTTAATTATGCCACAAATTTAAATGATATAAGCAATTGGGCTGAACCTGTATTGCCTCCACGACTCACTCATAATTTAGTCAAATAAAAACATTTTGTTATCCATATTATTCTTCTAAAATCCCTTTACTAAAAGCAAACTCATAAGGGAAGACCCAAGACTCAGCCTCTAGTTTCACACAGAGGACTAAAAATTCATAAAGGGTTTGAGGCACAGAGAGGGTAAACATCTAAGAAAGGGGTGGAAATGTGGAAAATGTACAAGACTCAAGCTTCAAGAGCAAGTGGGTCAACTTTTCAAAAGATCTTAACCTCTAACCAAACCTCTTACTGGTTTGAGGAAAGCTCTGAAAAAATATGTGGTGTTTCTGCAGTATTTTGAAAGAATTAAGCCAAGTATTTTTGGCCAAGAACAGTGAAAGAACTAGTCTAAAAACTGCAGAAACACATAGAATTGGAGGTTGCCTCCACTCCACTCCAGTTAACTCACTTCCACCCCTTCTGTACCCTAGTACTCACAGCTCCTATTTATAACAGCAGTATCGATTTGCCCATCAACCCAGGATTCCTTTGGCTTCTATGTCTACCTAGTTGACATATGAGGAAATTCCTTCAAATTCAGGGGTGTCTTTGAAGTCTAGTGCCTGTTTACCACAAGGCAAACACTCCCACTTGAGGGGCTCTCAGCAGATAAGCATGAGGTTACACCTTAAGTTACATGGCACAGGAAACTGCCTTCCTTAACCAGATTTTTGCTCTTTTATGTGAAGATTTCAGAAATGAATGAAACCATGACATAAGTGGTGTCAATTCACTAATTATTATAAGCCTACAACTGCTTATCTATTCCCAAATTATTTCTACTTTGCCTAACAATGGTCATATATGAACATCAGGTAATGTTAAAAATTTGCCCTTGATCACAAACTTAGTCATTTCCCAACTAAAATGGATTCTATTTTGCTGAGCAGTTAGGCAAATTCTGGAAAAGAAACCAAAGAAATTAAAACCCTAAAAAAATTATTTATAAAGATAAACACAATGTTTTTGTTTAATTTTCCTTAACTTTTCTGTTTTGTTTTGTTTTTTTAAACATATGAAAGCCTTTCAGAATGGGCTAAACTAGCTTTTCTGGAAGTTCCAAATCTTCATGCATATGATAAAGGCATCAGCTTATTCAATATTTCTGGAAGGTTACATTTGCAGTTACCTGCCTGACGTTAATAGAGTCCAAAGTAGTAACTGAATTTCAGCCATGAGTCAGAGAAACCAAATGTCTAGTTTGGAAATAATAACAGTTTAATGGACAAAGAGGACATGCTCACAGTGAATACAATATTGAAGCATTGTCCTTTTCTCATTCAAAAGCATGAACAGTTTTTTGTCTTACATTTAAAACTCTCTAAAAACAGATTATTAGCAACTAAAAAAAAAAGACTCACAATACACAGAGAAACACAAATTTAGCACTGCACACATTAAGCAAAATAGATAATACCCATATCCAGAGCTTTCTAGAAAGATCACATAACTCACCAACTTATTTGACATTTCAGACAAGATGAACATTTTTTTAAAACCTTATAAATATGTAAATCCAAACCACAAAACATCTCCTAACATTATATTTGCTCTAAGTACAAATGATTTTTTGGAAATTGCATTCACAATTTCTATCTAAACTAGAGTTTTTGAAATCATTAACGTATTTAGCTGTATCTTAGGGCTTAAATTCTTTGGGCCACACCCTACATATACTTTCCCATCATACTTACCCTGGACATACATATTCTCAAAGTTAACAGTTATATGATTAAAATCAAACTACTACTCTAGGAGTAAATGTCAGTCTTTCCTGAATAAGGAGATTGGAACTGGTCCACTGTCATTATATCACACAAGTTGAAGTAGTCTTAGTAATGCCCATTTCTAAGAGTTATAAAGAGTTTAATGTTAGTAATCAGTAATGGATTTTAGAGACTAAAAATTTTTTAATTTTTTGCCTAGTGTCTGTGAACATTCTATTCCCTCAAACCTAAATCTGCTAAACAATTTCTTCTGTAATATATACATTCAGCTTCTCTTACATCATGAAAAGAAGTTCATTAAGTCACACAGGTTATGTTTTTATTTGAAATAAAATGTGTAAAAACTTAAATCCATTCTAAAATGGACTTAAGAACAACAGGAATAGCGACACGTAAAGTTGCCCTCTGCCACCTCCATTTTACTTCCTTGAAGGATCTTTTTAAGAGGGCACCAGCTTTGTGTTTCCTTTGTGTGTTGCCTGGCTTACTGGAACACAGTTTTGCACATAAACCTAAACCATTATATTTTGGTTTAAGTGAGTATAGTACAGGAAAATGCTTATTTAGTTTCTCAGCCCTTCACCCTGTAAAGTAGAACATCTCAATAACTGTTTCTGGGTTTCCATGCCATAATTCACCCCAAACTGTCACAGGATTAAGTTAAGTAAGCCCACAATATTTAAAATACAATAGGGAAAAATATCCTCATAAGCTTATAGCAACTAACTTAGATGAAACCTAATTCAGGGTAAGGGGTGAGGTTCATTGAACAACATTGTTAAATTAAAAAAAAAAAACTAAACTAAACTAAAAGGTTTTAAGGAAAGACTCAACTGAAGATTTCCATGAGTAATAATTGCTCTGTGAGAATTTCAGAGAAGACTGAGGAGAGAGGACAATAAATGTGGAGGAAAGGGTGTGTCTCAAAAACAAATGGCCATATTCTGTCATTAAGTTTACTTTGATGCAAATCCCTCAATGTTTTTAATTCTCTTCAGTAATGTGGGCAGACCGGTCATTGAAACCTCACACTGGGGTGAGGCTGTTTCCTCTTGGCTAGGTAGCCTGTGCAGAGGGAACAAGCATCTAAGCTGGAACCACAGACCACAGGGAGTGGCATCAACTTAGGAGAGAAAACACCTGAAGAGGATTCAGAGCAGTTCCAACAACAGGTGGGTGGCGGTGGGTGAGGGTTGGGGGGTGGGGGGGCAGCGCATGCTTTTTGAATGCACAAGTCGTGTCCTGGAACAGCTTTCATCTCGTGTCCACCCTCCAGTGTAGATTTCGGATGATTATGAGAAAAGGAATCAGCTCATTCCTATAACCTTCCGTAAGATCTGTGCTGCAGCCTAGCACACCTGGCCCTGCGTGTCTGTCTGTCCAGCAGTGTGGGGTGAAACCCTGCTCTTTCCCTGAAAGACTGCAAGGTTGGCTGTACGAAGACTGTGCTTACACAGTTTTGCTTCTTTGCCTTCATAGAACTGTGCAATTTTCCTTCCAGAACACAGCAAAACCAACTGAGTCAATGTTCTAATGGAAAACGGGCCACAGACACATGGCCAGGGGCTTTGTGAATGTCATTGGACGCCCATCTCAGCAAACATGAAAGAAAATAAATGATAAACAACCTAACTTCAAACATGGCAACGCGTGTCCAGATTCTTGGTTTGCATGTAGATTAAGAGGAAGGTGCCATACAGTCTAGAAATTCATGACAAACGCACTGGCAGAAACCATATACCATGAGAATAACAAGGCTCGACGGGACGAGGCTGACAAAGACGACCCCGAGGGTGACTTTCTTAGACACCAGTAAGTAGATCCCCAAGGGCAGGGAGCTGAAGTACAGCAGCCCTAGCAACCAAACCAGCACCCGGATGGAGGTCTGAAAGAGGAGCGAGGTACAGTTCCACACTGTCCAGTTGGGGGACACAGTGGGGACCGAGTCGAAACTCGCCGGCCTGTAAAATTCCACCACAGGGGTGGAGCTCAGAGAGGGCGAGCTCTCCCGCTGCACCTCCATGATGGTTATGACCAGGCAGTTGGAGGAGGCATGCGAGGGGCTGACGAGCGAGGCCAGCCTCTTGGGGGTCAACAGCAGCTCGGTGGGGTTGTCTGGCAGGCACTTCTTGCCTTTGCCTCCACAAGTCAGGTTGACGAGAATGTTGTTGTCATCAGGCAGGCTACTCACTTCATCGTCCGGCAGGCACGTCTCAAACCTACAGAAAGGGCAGACGATGACGCCCTGCGGGGAGTCCCCGAAGTCTATGATCTTGCAGAGACACCTGGCACAGACCCTGTGGCAACACCCCAGCACTTTGGGCTTCCTCTGCTTCAGGTTGTACCGATTGTAGCAGATCTTACACTCGAGCTCGTCGGGCACCTGGGACTCCGCCGCATCCTCTGCGGGCTGACTGGCCATCCCGAGCTCCGTGTGGGTTCTCTGGCCAGATGCGTCTGCTGGAAGAAGGACTTCGATGAAGATGTCCCTCTGAGTATCACATTATCCAAATCGGGCAGTTGTGCAAAAAGGCAGGAATAGTGACAGAAATCAGAAACCTTCCAGGCATTGTTCAGCTTCTACATTCATTCTGTCTCAAATGCACATTTTAAAAGGCCACATGAAGGGTCTGCAAAGGAAAAAAGAGATTCTAATATAGTGAAGAGTTCACTGAAAAGAACATTGTGGAATTTTCTGAGCTTCGACGATTAGAAGCAATCGCCTTAAAAGGTTAAATCCCCTTCATCTTTTCACACATTTCTGCTCACAGGACAGGAAAGTGCTATCTCCACGCTTAGCTTTCAGTCCACAAATAGGGTTTTAAGGAAGGAATAAAGAATCCTAATGATGTGAATATACTCTAGAGCACTGGGAGTATGGCTAGATACAGAGATTTTCTCTCCTACACACATAAATTCTGGCCTCTTTGCGAACAGAATGGGTCTCATAGCACAAATAGATCCATTTGCAATCAAATTCCATTCAACATAGACTGAGTAATTCAGGGGATCATTGGTGGAAATTCCAGTTGTCTAACCACCCTCAAGTACCGCTTAGGAACACACAAAATAGGGAACCTTAAGGATAAATGTTAAAAATATGTTTTCAGAAAGCATTTTCATAGAGATGAAAGTATATTTAAACACAGCAAACTCTTCTGACTGTCCCTGTGTAAAGAAACCTGATATAAATGCCCTTATTATTTGACCGTTTGATTTCAAATTTTTGCTCCAATGCTAGCTTGAAAACCATAGTTGTACATATACCTTCACTCAAGGAAGAATGGAGCATATGACATCTGACATAAGCATTATAAACAAGTCAAGTCTAATTCCCAGGAAAGGACAGTAAGCACAGATAACACAAGTACATCTCCAAACATGAAGGACCATGCATGCATGACTAGAAAGAAGCTCTGAGTTCACCTACTTGCCTGCTTTATTTCATGTAAACTCTTTCTATAGTGAACAAAAAGCATAAGACAATCAACTGTCCTTAATTTTGATCCCTAGTTGCTATTACTGGCTTGAAAAAAATCAGTGAAGGTTGATTTCATGTACATAGTTCTCAATTATGAGTACTAATGGAAGGGAGCAGCAATATGGGAAACCTCCCAATACATTTTATTTTGCTTTACGTATGTGACTTTTTTGGTAGTAGATGTGTCTGAAATTATGTTTTGCTTGAAAAAAATATCAAAATGTATTTGAATTTCTGAGCACACCCCCAAGCAACATAGCAGAAGGCTGCCCTAACAGTTCTGAGAAGTAGAGAACAACTATGCTGGTATTTTAAATTTGCTATGGATCACACTGCCTTCATGGAGAAGAGGCAGTGGGTTGCTAAACTTGGATCATTTTTGGAATTATGAATAGTTGGTTTGTAAATACATGCTATCACCCTTTTTATGACTTTAGCTAATTTTAACGAACTTCATGTCAATACAATAATCTGTAACAGGTATCAGCAAGATATTTTTGGTGGGAAAAGGAAGTATTCTTGGGAAAATGAAATCAATCAATTAACAGAATCTCTGCAAAAATAACAAATAGTACTGCATCAAACTAAAAAGCTACTGCAGACCTAAGGAAACCATCAACAATATGAAAAGGAAACCTACTATATGGGAGAATACATTTGCAAATGATATATTTTATAAGGAGTTAATATGCAAAATACATAAAGAATTCATACAACTACACACACACACACATACACACACACACAAATCCAACTAAAAACTATGCTGAGGACCTGAATAGACATTTTTCCAAAGAACACATCCAACACATGAAAAGATGCTCAACATCACTACTCATCAAGGAAATGCAAATCAAAACCACAATGAAGTATCACCTCACAGCAGTCAGAATGGCTATCAACAAGACAAGAAATAATAAGTGCAAGGATGTGTAGAAAAGGGAGCCCTCATACACTGCTGGTGGGATTGCAAATTGGTGCAGCCACTACAAAAAGCAGCATGGAGGTTTCTCAGAAAACTAAAAATAGAAATGCCATATAACCCTGCAATTTCACTTCTGGAAATTTATCAGAAGAAAAGAAAATCACTAATCCAAAAAGATATATGCATTCCTATGCTTACTGCAGCATTGTTTACAGTAGCCAAGATACAGAAACAACCTAAATGTCCATTGACAGGTATATAGATTTTTTTAAATGTGGAACATATATACAATGAAATATTACTCAGCCATAAAAAAGAATGAAATCTTGCCATTTATGACAACGTGGATGGACCTCCAGGTATTATACTAAGTGAAATAAGTCAGACAGAGAAAGACAAATACCATCATTTCATTTATACGTGGAATCTAAAAAAACAAACAAGTGAATGAATAAACAAAAAAAACAGAAACAGACTCATAGATACAGAACAGACTGGTGGTGGCCACAGAGCATGGGGCTGGGTGAAATAGGTGAAGGGGGAAAAATTAGTGAGAATATTTGATATCTTGATCAGGATGATGGTTACATGAGTGTATACCCATGTCAAAATTCATCAAGCTATACACTAAGATTTGTATGTTTTATTGTATATTAAAAAAAAATTTTTTAAGACCCTGAGAGAGAGCTGAAAACTCCTCCTGTGTCTGAGGCTCCCAAGGATTCTATACTGTCACCCTAGCTGAACCTCAGCCTTTAACAATTCATTAAAATTTTAGCTGACTCCTTCTTTACAAAAATAGATGATAGATAGATAGAGAGAGAAGGGAAGGGAGGAAGAAGCTCAGGCAGCAGCCAAAAAATATACAGATGATTTTTAAAACTAGTTTACTATATATGAACACATATATTTCAATGAATCTACTCTTAAACACAAAAAGGATATAGAGACACGACGTCAATTCTTCTATTCCTTTTCCTTCCATGTGCCCTAAGTATCTTCTTCATTCCTGATTCTGATCCTGTTCATGATACAGGGGGACCTGTCATCGCAAAATGTGACTGTATCTTGCCCACAATTCTACAAAACTGGCTTCTTAGTTCTCTTGTGGGATGACATCTCCAAAATGATATCCAGGACCAAGAAGGTGTTCTATCCCCATCACCACTCCCAGTCCTAGCGGCTTTCACAGAATGGTCCCTTGTCAGCATCTAACAATCAGCTGGTCCCGTTAATACTTCTGTACCAAGCTTGCAGCCATTACAAGAGTAGCATAGATGCTCTATGTTTGGCCAGCCAAGCTTTCTACTTTACAATTCTATCAACATAAATCATTAGCTTTGACAACATTAAGCTATTATTTGAAACAAGGCTTTCCTTTTCCAAAGAAATACTCTATTAGATCTTTGAATGTTAAGATGTTATGTGATAATAATGATCATATTTACAAAAATTTATAGAGGAAGCATCTTGCTAACATGCAAAGAAAATACCAAATGTTCCAATATCCAATCCAAAGATACCTGATTTAATTCTAAGGCCAATCCTAGTAAACCCACTCCATCCACTCTGTATTATAAAGCTGGGAAAAAATAAATACAAAAAGTTTTCTTTTCCTAAAAAATACACATTCAGATATGTGTAGCTGAATCACTTAGCAGTCTTTAATCCTTTTATGAATTATCTGGAGTAAGATTACAGAAATAATTATCTACTAAAAATCTTATAAATCAACTGAGAGCTATTAGAATAATGATTATTTCCACTGTTCAAAATGTATAGTACTTACTACTTGACTCAAATCCACTTCCTCCACTACTTAATTCCCTTTGCTTTTAAAGAGGCAAACTTTGCTTGTATTTCGAAGTCCTCCCAGTGGACATCTGTCTTGTATACCTAGGATCGTTTTTATCTCCTTTGGACCACACTGCTTCCCCTTCTCAGCTGCCACGTCTTCTTTGGGTAAGTGTTTGCCACTCACTCAAATTCTGTGATTGTGGGTGAGCTGCGTGGTACCTTCCTTCTCTTCACAGGGTGGGTTTGTGGCCCACCTGGCTAAGCACAGCACTCCATTACCCACTGCCCCCAGGGATTAGCCTGGGGGGCATGTGACAAGGCAGGCCTGTGAAAGGTCCTTCCTAGGACTTTTTTTATTTGAAACTAGAGGAAGAAGGAACATGCCAGGGGCTCAGGGAGGGAACACAGAACCAGAAAAAGATGTTTCAAGGAACCTTCATGCCTTCAAGAAGGAGAGTAAGAGAGGATAAAGCCAAAGACAACAAGAGAAGTAAAGGAAAGCAGGAGGCACGGATACAGACAGAGGCAAAAGGCAGACCGACACCTTGAGAGCCAAACTGAATTTCTGGATTTAATTGTGTGCGAAGGGTCCCATGAGCTAATAAATTCCCTTTTTGGCTTGTGCTAATGTTTTGGTTATATTTTTACTACTTACAACCCAAAGAGCTCTGATACAATTACCGTGCTATATTAGACTTTGAGGAGTTATTGTCTTTAGATGTAGGGTCCTACTTATTTAGTATATATAAATTATAATTAGTCAACTTCATAAGAAAGTAAGTTACTTTAAGTAAATTATAAATAAGTAGTTCAATAAAATTGAATTTACTTTTAAAATTTCATTTATGAAAAAAATTTCATTTGTGCACATGTGCACACACACATATACACACAAATTTACACACATATACAAAATTCATCGTACATAGTGTTTATCAGTTGTGTATGCGTTCTTTTTATTTGATTAATTTCTCCTCTTCACTTGCCTCCACCCATGCCAACCTGAACGCCACCCTCTTTCCCCCAGTAAGCCATATAAACTACCTGGCATGCTTCTTCCATATACATTTTCGTGTACATATATTCATCCATCTACACATAATTATAAAGACACATAAGCACAATTTTTTTCCAATGTTTTCTTTCTAATGATTACATTCTACTCAGTTTTCTGCATCTTTCTTTTCCTATTCAATAATGGCTCATGAAAATCTCTCCATTCAATTAATAGAACCCTAAATTCCTTTTTTAATAACTGCATAATACTTCATCCTTTGGATTTACTGTAATATAGCCAACCATTCTTCTCCTGGTAAGCTTTCATTTACCTCTTTTTTTTCCCACAACACAACCATTACTGAAGAACACAACCTTGTAATACCTATTCTTACAGATAGGTGTTTTTCTTTAAAAGAAGGAGGAGTGGA